TCTGTTTCAGCATTGCCCTTTTTGAAGAACACAGCTATTCTTTTGTATCCATTTGCACTTCTCATCATGCTCTATTTGATCTCATTAGCATGTGGATGGAACTTCACCAAGATGCTTTGTTCCTTTTATAAATACAGAGTGAAATAAAACTTCATTTATCTAATGAAGGATAGGACTTCATGTATCTAATGTTTATTTTGTTTCTACTTTAGCCATTTTGACAGTAAAGAAAAAATTAGCAACATTTTGTAAATGGTTGTAAATTTCTCTTTATTGTAGATAATTGTGTAAAAAAGTTTGAAGTGTCCTTTTTTTATTAAAATATTTACAACAGTAAACATGTTAGCAATTTTTTTCAAATACTTTCGCAGTACATTCCTAAAAACAAGTTACTTGGACATTTCTGTAGCTTAAATTTAACTGCAACAAGTCTATGTAGCATAACTCTTACTGCAGATACTATGCACATACCGGCATAAGCTCTACATTATGAGGGGTTTAAGTGACACCAAAAAGCAGTTTTATTGAAGACTAATATTGGAATACCTTGCCTTGGGACTGTGTGAAAGTACAGATCAATAGTGTTGCGATGGTAAAGCAACAGCTGTCTCTAGATACACATCTGTCCTCTCCTTGCATGAGAGATTGTAAGAACAGATTTACTTCAGTGACGACTTCAAATATACATGGACAACTCTGGCACACAGAAGAAACAGTGATGAAAGGCACAATTAACATGACCCATATCAGGTTTCCAAAGATAGCAGCAAGTTTTAAACCCAATCTCTAGCAGTCCAGTGGGTATTACTACATCCACCATTCTGAGTGGCAGGTCAATCAATGAACATGGAACGAAAGTACAAGGTGGTTTGGCTACAGGGGTGGGCTCATGGCAATGCCTGCAGCTGTGAAGTCCACAAGGCAGAAGTAGAAACTGACCATCACAAACAATACCTTATGGAAAGTGAAGATGACAGCTTTCCAATGCAGTTTTCAGCATGAAACATGAGCACTGGGATTCAGGTTCCAAAACAACACAAGAGTAAACTGGTTACAGTAAGACAATTTCAATACTAGAATTTGATCTCTAAGGAAAAACTATAATTTATCTTAAAATACCAAATATGCTGGCAGTGCATCTTACAGTACTGTGTGTTTCAGCCACTGTTAAGGCTTGAAGAGATTCATGTTTCCCTCTCAGCAGATGCTGAGCAATGTTCTCCTTTAAGCAAGGAAAGAGTGAACCGCTGATCCATGGAAGGGGAAGGTTTCCAGTCAGGATCTGCTCCCTTCCTGGCTAACAGCACAAGCTCCTGTCCTGCAGGCAGCTGCAGCCTAACTGTACACATTTTCCCTAACAGGAATCCTAGCATCACTGATCATCCACTTCAGTTCAACAGTAAAAATACTTCATACTTAGTGCCCTGTGGTGTGATGCCTTTGAAGGACTCAGGGCCTGTGTACCTTCCCTTTAGAGATATCAACATTTTTCCCCTTGAAACAAGGCTACATCATTCTCAAAATTAAGCTACTTCAACTTCCAGCAGTTCACTGTTTACAGCAGAATTTAGCAAAACCCTTTAGAGACCACTAAGGTCAGAAAGGTGACACTCAAGGACTAATTCACCAGGTCTCCATGGGCTGTGTGTTGTACATCAGCAATAAATACTAGCCGAAAACACCAGTTGTTTAATAGCTTTTCAGCCTTATGCTGGTGATTGTAAAGATGATTTAAAAACACAAGGACTTTTCCCCCCCCTCTTTCTAGCTAGAGTTACTTGGTCTAGCTTTTTCAGAATACTCCTTCCTAGTAAGAACAAACGTAGAACCTTGGGTTCATATAGTTTAGGGGAGCAAGGCTTGAGAGGATTTCATTTTTCTTTTCCTCTATGAAGCTAAAATAATACTTTCCATGTTGAAGGTGAACTGTAAACTACTATGATACTTCATCTGGAGCAAGTACTTCCAACAAAATACAGCGATTACTGAAATGATAATATATCTGGGGGAAAAAATAAAAGGAAACTGGTACACAGTTTCCAAATTTTTCCAAAGACTAATCACACTTCAGCTCATTCAAGGAACTGTGTTTCACACAGGCAAAGTATAAATTGCTTTGCTCTAAACTGACTCAAGGTATTTAAAAACTGCTTCAAAACAGCTAGACAAGCAGTGATACGACAGAAGACTCCAGTCTTTTCTTGGTCCATGAATCACATCTATCTGAATTTTTCTAAGCCATCTTTAAGTACAAAAAAAATATATATCCATAGGAATTTTTTCCATCAATGAAAACACACGGTTGAGATGCCTGCAAAAGCTCAAAGTCTTATACAGTGCTTTAGAAACACTCTAATTATCACATCCTGTTCACATTATTTACAAAGTGTTCAGTAGGATGACCCACTGAATGAGCAAAGCAAGATTATACTGGCAGTCTTGTGTTTTCTTGGTCCCGAGCAATCCTGATCAGCTCAAAAAAAGCAAATGTTCACATCAGCCAGTCTGTCTGGCATCCAGTATAAGAAGTTCATTTGCCCAGGTAATGAAGATTTCTGGCTATGCCTTTGGTTTCACAGTTTACTTTTCTGAAACTTTAACAGCATCAGAAGGAGCTAACAGGAGTATAGGACAGTGCAGGTTTTTTTCAAACACTTTCCATTATTGGATAACTCTTAAGATTCAGCGGCCTTAAAGGGGATTTTTAAGGTGACAACAAAAGTAACTTGAAATTGAATGCATGTAGGGAAAACTCCCTCCCAAACAGGTCATAGGTTTAAGATGCTGTTTAAGATTTCTTATGGTAATATTGTCCCTTACAATGGAGATGTGCAGGAGACACTGGCTCACTGGTGCAGATCCACTCACAAACAGTACCCAAGCTAAAGGTTGATGAGCCAAACAGCCCAGGAGTTCTTACTTCACCATACTACCAGGAAGGAGTCTTGCACCACTTTAACCTGATTTGGAATTTAAGGGTACAAAGCCAAATATAGCTGTCTGCAGAAATAATCTACCTGATTACACCAGCTCTGAATTTACCTGTATCTATGAAATATCATTTGTATTCATTGACACATTTATCTAGAGAGCCTGTAAGCTCAGGAACATTGAAAGTATTGAAGCAGCCCAGAGTATTTTCAACTCCTGCTACTACAATGTAATAAAAATGCATCAATCTTTAGAAAACAACCCACTTTTTACCACAAACTAGTTTAATTTGTTGTCTTGGATAAATTTCTTCTCAACATTTTTGAAAACTAAATATACTACTAACCAGTCTTGCAATCAATGTGGTACGGGTTCTGTGTATTTAAATATATTAGCAGTGATTCATCTTAACCACTGTGAAATATCAGGAACAGTGATGCTTTTAGAATAAGCACACAGGTTTCTTACATAAATAGTACCAGTAAACTTCCAGACTCACGGAGAAATGGAAAAGGTCACTGTCAGCAAAACTAATTATATTAAGAAACTGCAATATCGAATGTATTTCTGCAGTCTGGATTGTAATAAATAACCCTAGTTTAAATAACTTGCATCATTCATTCACAGACACAGCTGAGAAGAAAACCTAAATATTTTCTCAGACCTTTGCTAGCTGATGTGCGATTAAAAAAAAGCCATTTCATGTTGGTAATTTGATGGCAGGGCATTGTACAGGAAACAAACGGGGCTGTAGCACCACAATAGGCTAGAGTCACACAGGATTCAGAGCCTAGTCACCCACATTCCCAAATCCAAGAATAAACTCCATTTATGTGACCAGTGCTTACCTTATGCCCACAGCATCTATGGGCAACACAAGCTTTCCAAGTAACATTTTATTTACACCAGCTGATGCAATCAGGAAAAGTAAACAAGGTCTGCTTGGTATCTAATTTTTTTTGAACTTACACCAGCCAGTCTAAACAGAAGGTCTTGTTCTGCATACAAATCTTGTCTTCCCTCTGTCCCCAGACAACATAGCTAAACCAAAATGAGAACATGTAGAAGTAGTTAAGTTCTTCAACTTGAATATTGCTGAATTGTCAAAGCTATGGCACAGTTCTCCAACAAGGCAGAAGAGAAGACAGGTTGACACTATAATCCAGTGGTGCTTGCAGTGCTAGCGAGGCAGCTTTAGGCTCCTGCTCCTTACAAGCCTATCATGAAAGGGAGCCCAAATCTATCAGCTGAACTTTAATAGGGAAGTACAAATTCAAGACCCCTGCTCTAGATCAGGGAACCTGCAACAGGTTTTGTGCATCTGTGCCCTGATCACAAAGACAATAAAGGTCTTTTGCAGCTTAAGTGATTCTATGATTCTGTGTTGGGGGTAGCAGAGTGTGGTTTTTTCCACAGGGAAAGCTGGCCAGCTTTTGAGATGTCAGTTCCAGGAGGCTGGTTCACAGCACAACTGACAATACCCAAGCCAGGGTGGATGCCTCCCTCCAATGTCAATCAGGCACTTCATTCCTAATAAAAGGGAGGAATTCCTGCCTCTCTTTTTCCTAGCCATTTCTGACTAACTGAAGTCTTCTCATGCCTGAGTCCTTACACGTAAGCACCTAAGCTGAAGGACTCTTAAGAAAAGCAGCAGCATTAGAACTGCAACAGTTCCACTCTGATTATAATCCAGACCACGTTCTGTTCCTGACCGAATTTCTGATTCATTTAAGATCACTGTTGTTTCCCTTGAAACAAAAAGGCAGGCTACTAACTTGAGGCCAAATTCAGTTCCCACTATAGTTAGTGCAAGTTACCATACTGATCCATAAAGGAGTCAAACTAAGACCTTACTCTTAAACAAAGGAAGAAAATAAACTGTAACTACTCACTAATGTATCCAAAATAAATGCTGCCATAACAGAACTTTTTAAAAGGAGACCTCTGTAAATCAAATGTATCTACTGTTCATTCTTTTGATAAAAGGTAGTCTCTTGTCACTCCAAAGCAAAGCTGGAGAATGATTTTTTTTCAGTACAGAAAATGAATTTGTTTACAAATATTTTTAGAAAGAACTGGTTTGGAGTAAAAAAAAATTCTTCTAAAATGCAATGGATTAAATCTAAAATTACTGCAGATTTAGTACATAATATGAAACAAGACATTTCAACATGCTTTTCATGTGGCTACAAACTGTACATAGTGAAATTTCATAGCCCCAAAGAATAATGCTCTTCAGAACTCTGTTTATGCCTCTGAACATCATTCAGATTCTGTGTATAAAACTACATAATTTAGAAACTTAATCTTGTTTTCTTTTTAACATGGCAGTATATTTGAAATATGGTATTAATTTATGTTTGCATCTCCAAAGAAAAATGTAGAAAGATAACTTAAACTAGAGAATTCATAAAAAAACTATATCAATTTAAAATTTTACCGCATAAAAATATGTACTTTTCAAATTATTTTAATAAATTAAATATCCCTAGCATTTTTAATATATATCCCTGACAGTCTATAAAAGAGGGTTCTTGTTATAGAAAATAAATGGAACTCCGAAAGTACCCCCTTCATAAAACTTATTTAACAATAATTATATTTTTCTTTCTTCAAGGAATGTAACAATATGTACAACTCTATATTACTATACTATCAAAATAGTACAGGTTAAGCGTAGCAGGGTTCTGCAACCATAAGATGGTAAAGTCACATTACAGTGGAGGACAACTTGGGCCTCAGTCGAACGTTATCAGTGTGGAGCATCAGTTTCTGGATGGATCAGATAAGAAGGGGTAAATACAATCTTCTCATCTACAGTAGATTTCACAAGAGGTAGAGTTCAAGTGAAAAAGAATGACATTTGGAATAAGGTGCATGCTCAGTATTTTCAATTTGTGACTTGCTAAGGATGTCAGATTTTATAGGAAGAATTTTCAAGAATTCTTTCTTTTTCTTCTAAAGCAGATTTCCATGATCAGTTTGTAATCTTTTTAATATGAATCTGAAAGAGAGAATCAGAAGAAATAAGTCATGGTTTAGTGTATTACATTTCTCAGTAATAAGAGGTAACTATTTTTAGTTTTAGCCAGAAGTCAGAGCTTCAAGACAGAATGAAGAAATCTCCCGTTCTCCAGTTATGTTTTTTAATGTTCTACCACTTCTTACCTCATTGAGAATTGCCCAAACGGCTGAATTTTGTATCACGGAAAGCCGGAATGATGAAATAGGATTTAGGCTGGGGTCAACTGTTCCTTCAGCTACACCGTTTTCAAACTTCCCTGCAAAAGTATATCATTAAGTCCTGTTCAACAAACTGCAGCACAAAATCCAGAAAATGTGTCTGTAGAATCACAGTTCACAGTATCATTGTGACAGAACCACAGTGAAACCAGTATCATTCCCAAAATAAAAGGCAGTGAGTGATTTTGACATCAGATCCAGTTTTGCAGCAGCAAACAATATGGGGCACATCATCAGTGCACACCAATCTGAACAGGATTACACATAAGAGTAAAACCTTTGAAACTGTCTAAAGGCATTAACACCTAAACTCTGTGAAGATTTTGGCACAGGTACTCTTTCAATATCACAGAACTAATATGGTGCCTTTGGCTTATGTGTTTTCAAATAGGATTAAGGACAAGGGATATAATTCATGCATAACATATTCCTATTTAAAACATCTTCAATTATATTAGGATGAGTAAGAATTCAATTTAAAAGTCCAGTTAGACTTTATAGTTAAGCCATATAGACAACAACTGTAATTTATTATGACAAAAAAAGTTATAACAGGATTGCCCAAACTCTGTCCAGCAACTAATTAAAATCCATGGGTAAAATTTCTCTTCCTTGACAACATGTATCCAAGCACCTTCTCCAACAGCCATCTGGCTGTTGAAACGCCAATCTCATCCTGTGATGAGACAGCTGATTGTCTGTAGGGTGGGTTCAAATCCAGGGCAAGCACACAACTCAAAAAAGCACTTGTGCAGTCACAGGACAGAGGAGGTGATCTTACAAAACCTGGAAAGACCTCTATTATAATCCAGGTGATCAATCCTGGCAGAAAAGTTGGACGTAGCTACACTACTGAGAGTCACGAGAGATCTCTGTTCAGTACATCAGTCTCTGAAAAGAATTAGTGGATACAACATTAAGTAAAGCCTATGGGGTCATATACCCAAAAATAAATGATAAAAACTCAGGTTTATGTTTGTTTTGGTTTTAATAAACATGTCTTTAAGAGTTGCAATAGTAAGAATACACATTTTTTTCTGTGTTACATACCTATCCTGAAGTAACCGTCCTCTAAGCGTTTGTCTTTGGTTTCTTTGCTTAATACCAGTTCTTCACTCTAGAACAACAAAGCACAAATGAGATAATTTATTTTGACATATGACTTTGCCAGAGAAAAACAAATGTGTGTGCACTCTTCTTATATATTCAGCATCCATTTTTTCCAAATAATTAAGAACAAGCCTGCAATATAATTATTTATAGCCTTATACAAGCAAACGTTAAAAAAAAAAAAAAAAAAAAGGAAAGAAAAAGAAAAAAAGAAAGAGCAGCAGTGTTCCAGAACTGAACAATAATTGGCTTCAGGGAAGAAAAATCAAGTACTCTAAGTGCCCCATAAAGCTCGCATGGTAATTGCCATGTGAACAGAATACTTAGCACGTACTGGCACACACAGTAGGAGACAAGCAAAAGCAGGACCTGCCTTCTTTTTCTATGGCTTAAAAAGAGCTTTCTCTCTTGCACAAATGAAAACTTACAGCTTACTTTTTGATCTAAGACTTTGGGTGAGATGGAAAGCCATCAGACCAGCAAGGGAAGCACCACAATTATCACTGCCTCACTATATGGATGGGGATCAAATGGGGATCAATGGGAATCAGTAAGTTTTATTTAATAAGCACCAAAAAAAATTGTAGAAGAGATCTTGAAAAACAGCTTGAAAAGTACAACCATGACCCAATACTGAAAGACCCACTCTAGGAATTTCCCAGGAATTAATTAAAAATGCTTGGCAAAAATGGAGATTAAATTGATCAGCTTTTTCTTTTCCTTTCCATTCCTATTTTGAACTAAGGCTGCTGAAAAAGTGGTGGGAATGTCTTTGGTTGTTTATTTCAGGGACAGGTGTTTTGGTTTTCTTTCTTGTTGTTGTTGTTGGGGTGTTTGGGGCAGGTTTTTGTTATAGGTTGTCTTGAGGGGTTTTTTAGTATGCTGCTTGAATCCCAGACAAATCCAGTCTGGGGGTACTCTGGTTTCTAAGGGTTTTTTGGTTTTTCTGAATTCTACTTAAGGAAGATGAGGGTTAAAATACTTGAATGAGTTTCTAGCTCTGCTGAAGTCCAGGTGGAGAAACAGGGCCCTGAGGAGCTGCTATCCTCAGCTGACCTTATTTTACTGACAATATTTTATTCTGACACCAGTGGCTTAGGAACAGGCCAGATGCAGAATTTCTTGTTTACCTTTCCCACAAATTGCATCAATAGCAATAAAACCTCTGTAGCATTACTTCCTTAAAGGATGCTCCAGTGAGGGACATTCCACAACCAAGTAAAACAAAAAAAAGAGATGCCTGCTGCACATTTTTGCTCGTGATCTTGTGCATTTTGGTATCTTGGGCTTAGATGAAGTGAGGCCTGCTGCTGTTTTTTGTGGTTGAATGTATTTCCACAGGTCTTGAGAAAGAAACCCCTCAGATCTTATGATATAATATCCCACATGTAATGTTTTATAATTAGAACCAAACTAACAATTTTCTTTTTAAGGATGGGAATAGTAAGAACTTCCTATTTTTGCCTGCTCTAAGGAAAGTAGACTGGGAAAATGGAGATACGAACTCCTTCACAATTACTTACTTCAAAAAAATAGATAAAAAGAAAGTTTAAAAAAAAGAATCAACATAAGGCAATTTCAGCCTAGATTTCAAGATTCCTACACCAGGTATATGGGGGAAGGTAGAGATACTTTGCCATTTTAATACTAAATAAAATAAATTTGTCTGAAGCAACATCTTAATCCTCTCGGTCTTTGTGATATAAATAGTTAGCTGCAATATCTAGTAGAAGAAAGAGAACCCATAACATGTGACTTAAACAAGAATATACTTTAGATAGTGTGGTATTCTCCTGTGGTAAAACTGGCTCATTTATGGGGAAAAAACATCAGAAATTGGGAGAAAGAAATTGGGGAAAATTCTGTTTTAAGAATCTATATATTTTGGTATCTAGTGGGTTTGGATGTGTGTCAGTCCCTGAACTAAGACTTTTTTACTGAGACAAATAGCAGACTGACTTAGATTTCCCATTTCCCAAAATACACAGGAGAGGGAAGACTGTTTATTTTTTTGTTTTAAATAGTAGCAATGAACTGGAAGAAAATGGCCTTTTTCACCTCGAAATTACCAACAGCACTTGTAGCAGACTGCACCCTGAATGAACATTTGAATAGTTACAATAGTCTTTTGTGAACATACCCAGTTAAAAGAAGGAGAAGAACATCAGAAGATCAAGTTCATACAGTTAAAAGAAGCATTTTTATCTCCTCACTGTTAAAAAAGTCAATAAAGAGACTTTGCTTTTATCCTGTAATGGAGAAGACACAAATCAAAACATTCGTACCTGAAAAGGCAAAACTTCTACAGTTGTGTTTAGAAGTATGTCTCCTGGATGCTCTGGATTGCCACTGTGGAATAAGTACCTATAAATGAAAAGGAAAACAAAAGACAGTCTACATACATCCATCAGAATCAGCTGTGTTACTGTCTTACATGTTAATTGTCACATACAGATGTTACAAGGATAAACATCATTTTTATATTGAGCCTACATCAGCTGGGGATAAGATGCTTTCACATATCACTGTGATCAGAAGGGGTCAAGGTTTCCAGTTGCTAAAGAGCAGCTGGGCAGTATTTTACACAGGAAGGGAGCTTGCATCATGTGCTGTTGCCAGACTGCATTACACAAAGCTGTAGTCATTACTGCCTGGCACACACTGGTGTCACCTCCAGAAGCAGGAGCCCTGCCTTCTTCAGCCTCTCCCCAGCACACATCACCCTCTCACTGTGCCCACAGGATGAACTCTGCAGATCCCTTCTGAAACACTTCTGGAAACTTAGCCAAGTCAATATTTTGCCAGGTGAGTATTCCCCAAGTCCATGGTTCATTGCAAAATGTCATTGATATTGTGCCAGGAATACCCAACCCACATCCACACCTTTCATGTTACCTGAATTCAAACTTCTATTCCAAAGACAGATTTATTTAAGAAAAAAAAAAAAAAAAATCCCTCAAAAAACCCAAACCATAAAAGCGTGGTTTTGACACACATAAAAAAACCCTGTACCTTTTTAAACATGTACAAAGTCCCCATTACACTCACTCAGTTGTGCAATTAACTTTTTTTTAATTGGACAAATATATTTGAAACATTATCTAAGCCATCCCTATCAGTATCAATCAGTGAAGTGTTCAAATTCTAGCTGCCTACTCTGAACATCTTTTGCAGTACTGCACATGTGTAGATTATGTTACAAAATAGACAGTTAATTCCTCTTTCTTTATATATGACAGGAACTTCATGTTATTCTGAATATGTATTATGTAAACCAGTAATCATATTTTTTTTTACCACTAGGTGGAATCAATGCTTGAAAATAGTTCACTACTTGCCATTTTCTCTAGTGGACCGGAGTTTATTCAGATTACTGTCATAAACTAATTAGATCCTACACCTACTCAGATACCACTTTTAGGAAGACTATTTTACTTTTATTAGTTTTAAATTAATATGTAAAAATCTATCAACACATTTCAAATCTTTCTTTAATTGGAATTTAGATGGTACTTAGTGTTAATTTCTCTTCAACATTAAATATGTCACCAGCCAGAGACAAAATTAGTTCAGAAATTATTACTTGATTAAAATTAAAAACATTATCTCAATTTGCAATTTATTAAGATGCAGTTAGAAATGTAAATTCCAGCTTGTCTTTATCCACTATATCTGAAGCCAGGTTGAATACCTGCCATTAATCCATACTTCATAGCTACAAGACAAGTACAAGAAAACAGCTCTCTGAGCCCAGCTCAGAAATGTCTGTGACCCCAAACTTGGGATACAAGAAAGCCACACTGATTTCTATTCCATTGGTTTCAGCAGAACTGCACAGTTGTACTGGGAAACAGAACTGGACTAAATAAGACTCACTATTGTGTCTCAAGAAAAATAATTTCCACACTGTACTTTAATGTTAGGTTAGTCAATTCCAAAGTATACAAGCTACTTGAAACATCCACAATTCTTCCAAAACAAATCTTTTGACTTTCTAGACATTAATGACATCCAAAAAACCCTAACAAGTAATAGTAATTTTTTTCTAGGAAGATGCTTTCACTGGACATCTCAACAGTAAGCAAAACAAAACTCTCAGGAAAGCTGACCAGAAAACTAAAAGTACATTCTGCTGTCTTTTGACCTAATAGATCTAACCAGTCATTCCTTAGTCAGTCAGGCATCCTAAGCAGTACTGGCCATTTTTTTCTCTTGAAAACACTGAAAATTCAAAGGAGACTTTATTTCAAATGGAACTTGCCATCTAAGGTAATGGCATCAAAGGCTCCACCCAAACCACAGACATGCTGCTTTCCCTTAGCACTTAGTTCTGAGAAGACACACCTAAAAATCCACAAAGAAACTCCCTGTGATCTGGGATGACTGTGCTCTCAATGAACAGTGATTAGCTTTGGAGTTTTGGATGGGTTTTTTAGGGGAAGCAGTAGCAGTGAGGGCTTTGTTTGTTTGTGAGAAGTTGTCATTTATTTATTTGGGTTTGTTTTCTTGTTTTAAAAACAAGCCTGCAAGCACACAGCCACAGCCAACCATTTCTCCTACTGTGCCATCAGCTTTGAGACTGAGCTGCAGCTTCCCCTCCTCAGCAGTTGTCACTCCATTAGGGCAATGCACTCCCGAGTTGGCACCGTGCCAGAACAATTTACAGCAGTAATTAATCAAACCTGATTTCCATGTAATCAAACCTGCTATTTTAGTATATTTTCTCTAACTATCTGTTAATCCATATGCACACACAAATGTAACACATGCTCATGTCACATTTTAAATTATGTTTAGAAAGGAAGGGATATTTTTATATCTGAGCCTTGCTTCAACACTTGACAGATAACACCTACTTAGACACTAAAAGTTACACAGATTGAAAACAGAAGCCTAAATACACGTACACAGTCAATCCATATCTGTAATATTCTGTTTAAAACTAAAATTTACCAATTAGAAAAATTTATTTGAAATAAAATTTAATTTATGAACAAACAGATGTTATACAGCTCTTAAAATAATTGTCATTAGCTATTCTTTTGTAAAACTTGCTTTTCTGACAGGGGAGATTTTCCAATGGAGATTCTTTGGAAATAGCTTGAGAGAGTAAAACTAATTTCAAAACAAAGGTCAGTTAAACCTCCCTTTCAAAAACCCTTGAAATGGCTTTTAAGGAACCTATCTTTACCTCCCCAAACCCTTTGGGTTTGCACTCTTTATATGCCAAGACCTTTTTTACAAACTTGCTGTTATGCTAGATATTTAACTGAATGAGAGATTATTACGGGTTTCTCCCTCCCAGGTGGAGAGAAGACTCTTATGTCCCCTAACTAATGAACTGATTTATTGATTTGATATTTTTTAAGTAAAACAGACATTTCTAAAAACCACAGAGACATTTGCAGGACATTTAAGGTCCTCATTAAATCACTAAAGTAGAGTAATCCAGCTGATACCCATAGGATTACGAGGTTGTTTCCTTTTATTTAATTCCTACACCAGTAGTAAGATGTCTGGCCCAGTCCTTTTTTCTTTCAAGAAAAATACTGGTTTATAACTGGACTGAATGACCTCAAATGTCTTTTCCAACCTAAATGATTCTAGGGCTCTGTAGTTTTCAGACTATGATAGGTATATCTCAATACAGATAGTGAAGGACCTGGGAATAGCTTTGCTTTCAATTGCTAAATTATTTTGACACCTCTCCTGGGATTTACAGGCCATGTAAACAGTAAAAATATATGCCTTTTCTCCCTAATTACTTAACTTTTTTTTTTAGGGTAAAATCACTAAGATTTCCTTGTCTACCTGCTGCTTAAACCTAACACCTTCTGAAGCATTCCTTCAAATAAAAATTCTGAAAGCAATGGATCTGTAAATATAGTAATCCCAACCAAACACAAATTCACCTAAAATTAAAAAAACCAAACCCTACTATTGCCTTACGGAAAAATACAAACATGAACACAATTGAACATTTTTGATCAAAGTCATCAGAGAAAAGTAACTAACTTACAATTGCTAAGTATAATACTAATGTATCTGAATCAAAGAGAACCTTTTCTGCTGGCAGTTTTTTTTTTAGAGTCACAGGTCAAAGATAATAACCAGCTACTCTAGATATTCAAACACCGAGGAAAAACCTCCTCTCTACCAGAAATAATTAGATCTATGAACTCACTTACATGCATTCTGCTCCTGACCTCAATGCAGTATGAGAATAAGAGAAGGCTAGGTGTTAATATTTCATGTAGCATTAAGAAATACACAGAATTTCAAGAGCACTGAAGGTTTAAAAAACAAACAAAAACAGAAAAAAACAACACAAATCACCAAACTAAATGGAGCGAAGTCAAAGCTGCAAAGAAAACTTCTGTTTTCATACTCAGTGACTTCAGTATTTACCCAGTTTGAGGGGTTGAGTTGTTGCCATGGAGCTAGATACGTATCTAAAATCAAGACAAATAGAGGGGAAAACCCCCCCAGCCAATAAGCTGAAACAAATATTCATACACACCCTAAAACACAAAGGGAGAGGAAGGTAGAAGTGTGATTATCATTTGTACACTGACAAAATACACCATTAGTCTGCCAATGCAGTCAACTATTTAGGGTACTTTAAAAGCCCACACTCAGGTTCAGAACCCCTCCAATAGTGAGCACCCAGAAAGATTCTCACCTTTTGTAACATCCCCCATAAGATGGATAAATCAATATTACTAATCTGAACTGCTGACTATATTATTCTTTTAATAGCTAAACTTTTTCTTCACCTGTGCTTTCAAAAAAAAAAAAAAACCTATGCACACCTCTACCCATTCCCTATCTTGCTTATAAAGGGATGAATCTCTCTTCTTTCTCTCACATCCAAGCATATTTATGCCCAAAAAACTATTATTCTCTCTATTACCCCATTTGAGTTCTTTTAGGTGTTAAAAAATCTTCTATATTTTATTTAAATAAATTGCCAATTATGTATTTTTTATAAAAGGAAACAGTATACAAAAATACTTTAAACAGCACAATTCATGTCAATATATCTGGGTTTTGTTTTGAAGGAAACAAGTTACTTGACCTGATACTAAATCAGATTCTAAGAATATAAGAATGTGGGCCTTTGTGCTCTGTAAACATCAGGAGTCAAATCCTTTCCTTCACATATCCTCCTGTGTCTCTTTTTTAGCAATCTGATGTATTTTATATCCCATTTTCAGAAAAGGAAAATAGGTAGGAAGGCAGAGAGGAAATGTTTCCTTCCACTTTTGAACAAATTATCCATAGCAACATGCAGCCTTAGAGTTTTTAATTCTGCACAACATGAATTTCTGTAAAAGCAATATTCAGTCAGCAATTTTTTGGCT